CATTTCACTGTGATACTGTGTGCATGTGTATGAGAGAGGGAGGGAGGGAGAAAGAGAGAGTGGGAAGAAAGAGGGGCTATTGTGACAGCTGAAAAAGAGATTGTGTGACTCAGGACTGTGATGAATTATTAATTTAACATAATCAGTTCTTACATTGAATTTCCAGAATGGGTTCTATAAGTTTTCATCTGAGTAGATTGTCTATGTACATAAAATGTATAATTGAATACACATTTGTTTTTGAAATGTAGCTTTATATGTACATCTACATGTAGTTTATAGTACCTACATGGATGTAAATTGTTTTTCTATGAAAAAAAAATCCAGATATTTTCAAGTTACTGTAAACCAACTTTTATTTGCGACGATTTTATTTCACAATTTATTAGTTCGCGACGATTAATTTTCGATCAAGCCTCTTTTAAATCTGCTTTTAAAAGACACAGAGACTTTAAGGACTGGTTTGCGGCGAGAAATATTGGCGATGATGAGGCTCTCACGAACTTCATGAAAATTTCTAGCACACGAATAAAAGTTGGTTTACAGTATTTGACATAGTATTCATATTTTTTCACTTTTTGAGGACCTGCTGAATGTATTTCCTCAATGCATTTTTCAGTATCAGAATGTACAATTTCTTTCAGCCTTAATGGAAATATGGATCAATATAAGGTATCACATCTGTTTTAGACAAGTATGTTCTGTGCCCTAATAGTTGACTCTACATTCCTTTAACTGGACTTAAATCTTAGTACATGTACTGGTAACTTTAATTTGTAGAAGAAATGTCCTTGGACATCACCTTTACCTGCTGTTTGAAACTTTGTTTTGAACAGTCAAAACTGATTTTAATATTAGCATATGTTTCAGTGGACAGAGTATAAATACATGTAAATTTATTTATTAAAATCTGTTTTATGTATTATTCTTTGTCATTGCCTATGATCTTTGAAATGGAAAGAAAATGCATCATAATTGCAACAGTTCTCATTTTAATCCATTACACACAGACATCAACAGACTGATGTTATGGGCCAAATAATTAGGGTTGCACCTCAGCATTAAAAATAGCTATATATTCTGACCAGAAAAGGCACAACTTTGTGTTGGTAAAATTTATTGAAAGCAAAATTTCAAGAGGTTTCCTATTCAGAAATTAACAATTTATATGCCCCTCTCTCTTTCGAAGGAGGGAGGACATATTGTTTTGCTGCTGTCTGTGGGTCAGTCAGTCAGTCTGTCTGTCAGTCCACCAACAGTTTCAGTTTATTTTCTTTGCAGAGGTTGCACATACTGAAATGAAATTCGGTATACAGTTTAAAGAATATCTTGGTCAAATTCTGTTCTGGGTATGATTGAGCAATTTTGATAGAGTTATGCCCCGTGGACTTAAAAAAAATCCAGTTATCTTATTTGAAGGGGGGATCATACTGGTAAGTCTTTCACAAACACTTCTTGTTAAAAACTATGGAGCCAAAAACGCAGAGCTTTCTGGCAAACATGAAAGTTTGTTTTGATAAAAGTCAAGAAGGTGCTTTAAGTGCAGAATCAAATCCCCCCCCCCCCCCCATCACCACCACCACCAAAATAATAAATTTAAAAATTCTGAATCCCTTATAATTTTATGAATCTAACATGCAGGACTGTCCAAAACTCTTGCATTGTTGAATATTGGTGTGAGCCTTTCAAAGTATTATAATGATGATCTTTTACAAAACTTGTGTACAAAATATGATATTGTTTGTTTAGCTGAAACAATGCTTAAGGATTCAACAAGAAATCTTCCAGGATTTTCTCCACCATTTGTTTTGAACTCAAAAAAGATAAAGAAAAGGGGTAGACCATCAGGTGGATTACATATATATATAAAACCTACAATATACAAACACTTTAAAAAAGTATTTCAAAGTGAAAATAGCATTTGGCTGGAAACTAACATTCAAAACACAAATTCACAGCAGAATAGTGATTCATATTATTTTTGTTTCTGTTATATAAAACCATATATAAATAAAGCTAAATCCGAAGAAATATTTTCTAATTTAGAAAATGAAATTGCAAACTACAGAAGTAAAGGAGAGATTTTTATTTGTGGAGACTTTAATGCTCGCACTGGGGGGCTTCAAGACTTTATACAACATGACACACTAAATGATACATTTTTGGATTGCCCTCTGCCAGAAAACATATATGAGCCTGACATTTCAGTGAGCAGAAACCAACTCGATAAGACATCAAATTTACATGGACATCTACTCACTGATATTTGCAAAACATATAGATTATCTATCCTGAACGGAAGATTTCTTGGTGACTCACTTGGCTATTTCACATTTTTTAATTCTAATGGTTCAAGCACTGTTGACTATATGTTGGCATCAAGTCAGTTGTACCATAAGATCGAACATTTCAATGTATTACCTCCAACAGAAATATCAGATCATTGTCTTATAACTGCAAGTGTACATATGAACATGGACCTGTTTTGTAAGGAAAAATATAAAATACACTCTTTAAAGGGGAAATACCTCTGGTCAAGCACTTGTAAAAACCAATATGTAGAAGCTATTAATGAGGAAGAAACAAAAAATCAAATACTTATGTTGAATAATTTACTAGATGAAATATATGATGATAACACATATGATTCAAATGATCTTGTCGATAAACTGTCAAATATTATAATTAATGCAGCAAATAAAAGTGTTCCATTTAAACCTGCAAAATTTACAAAATCAATTAGAAAAAATAAACAAAAACCAAAATGGATGAATACAGATTGTCTACTTTTACGAAAAGAAGTTAGAAATTTAGGAAAGAAAGTACACAAATATCCAAACAACTGTGAACTAAAACATGCCTTCACAAACTGTAGAAAAAATTATAATAAATTAAGGAAAAATCTTAAATCAACTTTTTACAATAGTATAGCAGAAGAAATAAACTCGCTTTCACCACAAAACTCTAATAAATTTTGGAATAAGATAAAAGAAAATAAATCAAAGAAAACTAATGCAGAAGCAATTGGAATTTCAGAATTCGTTGATCATTACAAATCGCTACTGAACATACAATATGCTGATGAAGAAAGCTCAAAATACAAATTTACTGAACTAAATACTGAACCAAATCCATTAGACTTTTTGTTTACTCAAGATGAAATTAAACAAAGCATTTTAAAGCTAAAAAATGGTAAAAGTGCTGGGCCTGACTTAATCTTAAATGAATTTATTAAAACAAACAATACTTCTCTTTTACCAGTTCTTACAAAACTGTTCAATATTTTACTAAAAAATGGAAAAATGCCCAACGAATGGAACCTATCACTTATTACCTCATTATACAAAAATGGTGACCCTAATAATACAAACAATTATAGAGGTCTCAGTGTTACAAGTTGTTTAGGAAAACTTTTTACAGGCCTTCTACAGAAACGCTTAGATAATTATCTTGAGTCAAATAACCTACTAAGCCAATATCAATCTGGATTTAGAAAAGGTCATAGGACCACAGACAATATATTTGTATTAAAAACACTTGTAAACAAATATCTTTATGCAAAGAAACAGAATTTATATGTGTGTTTTGTAGATTTTTCAAAAGCATTTGATACTGTATGGAGATCCGCACTTTTATACAAATTGAATAAAAAGGGTATTGGTGGTAACTTTCTCAAACTTTTAACAGACATGTATTCGAACACATACTATTCTTGTAAAAAAGACAATCAAATGAGTGAGAAATTTAAAGCAAATAGAGGAGTCAAGCAAGGTGATAATTTAAGTCCAACACTTTTTAATATTTTTGTTGATGATTTTGTGAATTATTTCAAGAATGTAAGTACATATCCTGCTTATCTAGATACTATGCCAATTAATCATATGTTTTTTGCTGATGATCTTGTCCTTGTATCAGAATCAGAAGTTGGTCTACAAATTGTATAGATATTTTAGGAAAATATTGTTCAGACTGGAAATTATGTGTTAATATGGAAAAAACAGATGTTATGATTTTTTCAAAAAAATCTGTTGATGAAGCATCATTTAGATTTTATTATAATCACAAAATGATTAACATAACAAATGAATATAAATATTTGGGTGTTGTGTTTAGATCTGATGGGAAAATGAAATCTGCTGCTGAACAGCTATCAGAACGTGCTAGAAAAGCATATTACGCTATTAAATCAAATTTTCCTGCAAATGTTAATTTTTCTGCTGAAATTATGTTGAAATTATATCAGTCAATGATAATACCAATTATAACATATGGATCTGAAATATGGATAACTGACTTTAAATGTGATTTAATGTCTTCAGACCAGTTTCCTTTTGAAAAAACACAGCACTTGATATTTAAAGATATACTAGGGGTACACAGAAAGGCATCAAATCTTGCTGTTTTATGTGAGTTGGGTCGTTTTCCTTTGTACTATTTATGTTATGAATATATGTTAAAATATTATATGAGACTGAAGGAAATGGAATGCAACCATGATTATAACAATTATTTAGTGATATCTGCATTTAAAGAAGACAAAAATCTTGTATCTAAAATATCTTGGCAAAAGAAACTGTCTTCATTACTACAAAAATTAAATATTAGTTCTTTGGAAATATCTCACATAACTTTGAAAAACAAATTACAAGAGCATTACCAAAACAAGATATATGAACAACTGGAAAAAGTTAGCAAATCAGACTCTGGAAAGTTAGCATTTTATAGCAAAATTGTGAATCAAGATGAATACAAACTGCAAAGTTATTTAAAACTACCCCTGAAGAAAAGTTGTAGATCTTTATTAACAAAATTAAGGATCAGTGCCCATCCACTATATATTGAAACGGGTAGATACTGTAAACCCCCTATTCCTAGAGAAAAACGTTTATGTTACTCATGTAAATTGTTTGTTGAAGACGAAAAACATTTTGTTCTTTATTGTCCAAAGTATGATCAATATAGATGCAATTATAATGATATATTTAATGTAAACACATATACTAGTGATAACCCCATTAGAAAAATTGTCAATCCTACAAATATTTCAACTGCTAGAAGGATATGTTGTTTCTTGAAAAAGTGCTTTGACATCAGAAAAGAAAGTCAAAAATGAATATTAATATTGAGAAATACACAATTTTGTTCACCTCATATTTCTCACTTTGTATATGCTTGTATTAATTGTGTTAATTTATGTTATGTTATTCATGTTCATGACTGTATGCCGACATGGTAATTGTCAATAAAGTGAATTGAATTGAATAATTCATTATGATTCATTATGCTGTATATTGGTTTTATATTTTAACAAAAGGAATTATCATTATTACTTAGTTCAGAAATTCTGCTTTTAACGTAAGAATTGGAAGTCTCAATCTATTTTAAACTAATGTACATGTATATAAATAAATAAAAGGGAAAAATATATACAAACATCTACTGAACTGTTAGCTCATTTGTATTTTATTGCTGTAACCATAATGTACCATAAGATGTGCATTTTAATATTTTGAACCATCATTTTAACCCCCATCCCCGCCTAATGACCATCTGCTCTAAATTTCACCAAAAAAATTTTAACTTCCCAACACTGATTTAATTCAATAAGGTTTGATACACAAGATAAATAGAATATATTAAGAGCATAATTATGTGTATCAGTGTTTGATCAATGCTTTATTTTGTAACGGGAGAGGAGAAAATGCAGCAGACCAGACCGGGATTCAAACCCGGGCCCCCTGAAACTCCGGTCAGGTGCTCTACCAACTGAGCTATCTGGCCATCGGCGATCGAACCTGGCTGACCGCCACATTCCTCCCTCTTTAAAGGTCTTTGGCCCTCCAAAGACCCCAACCCAGGCTCATCCCTGGCAGGTCTTTCACCTGTCAAATCCAGGGCATGGCACGGCACCAA